CTGGCCCCTTAATCAAATTCAATAGAGCTCTGCTTTGCTCTGCCCTCCAAGAATCCGCTGAGGTTGCTGTCAGAGTGGCTATTAATGCAGCAATCAGCTCCACTTCAGTGAGGAGAGAAACACGAACCTTGAGGGGTGGGAGGCAGCAGGGGCATGTGGAAATGGGGAAGTAAAGCACAACTTGTGCTTGTTCTGCCCTGCACTTCACACCAGGGATGGGAAGGAAGCAGGGCTGGCAGCCGCACTGTGTCCCAGGTGGGCAGTGTGCTGTCCCTTAAGGGGAACAAACTGATGCAGAGATGAAGAAAGTCCCAAACTGATAGAGAAAATCTTGCTGGGGCTCTAAACAGAGCAGAATTTCTTCTAATTACAGCCTATTCTGGAAGGCATTAGTTTCTCCAGTCACTCCTCTTGAAGTGTTTATTATAGATCTTCCCCAGCAGGATTTTGGATGAGAGCAGGACCTGTGTGTTTTGCCCAGAGAATGGCTGCCCAGAGAATTCCTGCCTGGGCTGTGCAGGAATAGAGCAGGTACCCGCCCCTGCTTGGTACAGTCAAAAGGTTTCATGGTGTCCCAGAATTAAAAAGGCTAAGTCAGCAAATGAGCTTATACAAAGCTTTTCAGAGGCTCTGAAGTAAATTCACATATTCTGGAAAAAGGGAGAAGTTAAATCTTTCCTTGTGCCTAAGGAAGGAGGGGCTGGATAGGGCAGGGAATTTTCCTCTTCTGGAGGGATGAGATGCCAAAAGGCTGTATAGAAGATTGTGTTAAATTGCATGGTGTGCCACAAGCCTGCTGTGTCACCCAGCCTCTGCCCCAAAGAGCAGGCAATCAAGGTAATGGAAACAGCCCATTTTTTCCTTCTGATCTAAGAATGGGCACAGATCACCTTTTGTTGCCTTGACAAGTGTCAGTGGGCAAAGAAAGAAGGGTTAAACCCTTTTCCTGGTGCTAGTGACATCTTGCATTTTGTAGCACTGCCAGTACTTAACATATGACTGTTTATTTGTTTTGCTTATTGTTTACTTTATGCTCTGCTGAGCACAGGCAATAGATCACTTTCACCTTTGCAGATGAACTCAGTTTTGCTGTATTTAGGACAATAAAACATCTCACCAGCATATTTCAAGTTAATGAGTTGCTGCTTTTTTTTTCATGTGGAGTTTCAAAATAAGTTAAATTCCCTTGAGATTAGATTTTGTGGTTAGTTTCTTTTTAATTGACAAGCCTTAGTCACCAAATTCTTTCCCTTAGCTATCACCTCATTCCTCTACCTCTGTAGTATTTGTTTGCAGGCATCTTGGAACAAAATGTGACCCTTCCACTGAAATGGGAAAGCTGGCTGAATTTCCTAAGGCAAAAGCCATTACAGTAACTCACAGGGGGAGACAGCAGAAGGATTTTCAGTTTTGCCAGCCTAAAATACACACTTGCTTTCTGATTCTGCCTAACAGACGTAACTGTGAAATTGAACAATTTTGGGGAAGAACAGAAAAGCACAGATAATGGTAATACCAAGAAAAATTTCTGAACAGCTTTGAAGCAGCTATAAAAAAAGCATTTAGTGCAATTGTAAAGCCTCTTTTACCAGTGCTCTGAACATCGGATGAGAATATACACCAGGTAGGGAGGCTGGAGGGAGATCAAATGAGAAATGACAAGCCTTTGACTATAAAGCTGTCAATGCCTCAGAAGGGAGCCAAGCCAGCTGCACCTATTCCAGGGAGTGTGAAATGGAGATGCAGGGGCTGGGTGGAAGTTGGTGCTGCTGTTTAAAGAGAGCTGGTGCTGCCCATCTCTGCTGCCTGTTTTCTGCTCCACTGGCAGCACTGACCTGGCTGATCAATGTTGCCTCTAATTTTATTTAATTTTCTTGCCTAAGATGTATCTTCTCCTTTCATACTCCCCCTTTGTTGCTCAGCCTGAGATTGATGTATAATGTCAAAATAAATCCAGGGAGCGCCATGAGCTTCTGAGATTTGGGAGCTGGATGTGGCAGGGTCAGGAGATCTGAAAGGCTTTTAGTTACCCACTTGTAGTGAGCCACCTGCATGCAAAGACAGCCAAATTACCAGCAACAAAGTGAAAAATGACAAGAGCATTCATTAAATGCCATGCCTGGGCTAGAATCTCAGTGCACTAAAGTGTTTTTATCTCATCTAATGGGTAAACGACAGCTCAGTAGTTCCTGCTGCATTTCCTGCTTGGTGGGGGCTGGGGGCTGCATTGATTCTGGGATAAAAAGGACTTTCAGAGCCCTGCATGGATGTGGTCTAAAAGAAGCCAAAAGCAAGTACTTTGGTCCAAGCCTGTCAGCTTTGCCTTGCCAGGCTGGGGAAGGGGTGCAGCCAGTCTGTTACCTGCCCTGGTTGTGCTGGGGGAAGTTGCAGCACTGGAGCAGATGATGGAAAGAAAGAGCTGGCAAAAAGGGGCTGGCAACTGCACAAATGGGTGACATGTGCCAGGGCCAGCCTCCTAGGAGCTGCTAGGGTCAGTATCAATAACACCAAGTACCCTCAGGTGGCTGTCTGATTCATTACAGAGTTCAGCAGGTTATGGCACATTGACACCTTTCTCTAGCTGTTGAAAACCAGCAAGTTCATGACAGAAAAAAAAACCCATAAATTTTTCTTTCGGGAGATTCACTCTTCAAACAACAACAACAAAAATCAATTTATTTGCAGGGAAATAAAGACTCTGGGGTGTTTTTAATGAACAGTTACTTAAGGAATAAGAATGCTTGAATTTAAAATCCTGATCACCCTCAGATCTATGTCCTGCTGTCTCAGTGATATGCTGTATGGGAGAGGCAGAGTACCTGGCACACAGTACAAGCCCTGTAAGCACAAAGACATTTGTTGAGGCCATGACAGTACAGCTGTTTCCTCAGTTGGAACTTGCAGTGTTGGATTTTAGCATCCCCTGCCCTCCTAGAATGTGTGAAAGCTGTTTTGAAACCAAAGAGAAAGGTTCCTAGCCACTGCTGAGGAAAACTTGAAATCATGAGCTGAGTGCCCAGTGAGAAAGGACCAGGATGCTTTTGGGTCCTTTGGTTTGGAGTCACGTTATATTTGTGGCCTTGAACCAAGAGTTGCACAGCTTTTCTGAGGGGCCACAGGCTGCAGGCCTGCAGCAGGGGACTGGGATGGCTGTAGTTCATCCAGCTGGCAAGAGGGGCTGAAGTGCAGGGAGCTGGCACGTGTTCCCTCACAACTGCTGTGGTATGCAGGACCTCTTGAGCCTTGTTTCTTGGACACCTGTCTGACAAAGCCCTTGCTTGAGTCATTTACTGTAATGTTGTGCCCTGAGGCAACTAAAGATGTGTTTAATTTGAAATTTAGTGTAATTGGAGCAGTTGGTCTTGTTGCTGTAATAATGATTTTCGGCAGGATATTCAGCATGTTCCTTTGCTGTGCTATCCACCACAACTGCTCCAAGAGCTACAAACACAAGAACTGCTGCAATACAGATTTTTTTTTTTTAATAAAGCACACAGCAGTTTGCACAGAAGGGCATGAAAGAGGGGACATCAGCTGAATTAGTATCAATGTGACAGTCTTGGGGATGGTGGTGACACACCATGGAATGGTTTTCCCAGCAGGTGTCAAAGCAGCTGTCCCTGCTAGGGCAGAGGCTCCAGCACAGACCCAGCTTCAGAAAACAGATGCAACACCCCAAGCCTCAGGATGTAGTGAGTGACAAAGGAACGGACAGGAAGAGATGCTCTGCTGGATCTCATACTAAGCAGCAATGAGAGGCTCGTTGGGGCTGTGAAGGTCAAAGGCAGCCTTGGCTGCATGAAATGGTGGAGTTCAGGATCCCAACACAAATCTGGGAAGGGCTCCATATCTGCATATCTTTATTTGGCTGATAAACCAGAGAGTCAAGCTTCCATCCAGAGGGACCTCAACAGGCTGGAGAAGTGAGCTGACAGGAACCTCCTGCAGTCCAGCAAGGCTTTCAAAGGGCTGCACCTGGGGAGGAGCAATCTCATGCACCAGAATATGTTGGAGCCACCCAGCTGGGAACCAGCTTGGCAGGAAAGGACCTGGAGGTCATGGCAACACCAAATAAAATGTGAGCCAGTGATGTGCCATTGCCATAAAGGTACTGATGGTGTCCAGGGTCACATTTCCTTCCAGTGGTGCCCAGTAACAGGGCCAGAGGCAATGGACACAAACCAAAACACTGGAGGTTCTTTCTGAACATCAGGAAGCACATTGTACTGTAAGTGTGAGCAGTGGCACAAGGTGTCCAGAGAAGGTGTGGGGTCTCCAGCCTCGGGGATACTCAAAAGCCATCTGGTCATGGTGCTAGGAAACTGGCTGTAGGTGACCCAGCTGACCAGGGGCTTGGACCAGATGGCCTCCAGAGGTGGGGAAAGGAATTTGCCCAGCGGGAGAAGTTTTTCTAGGTGATGAAGTGAGGTGGGAACTGAGGGGCGAGGGAGAAGCGGCGGCTCCATTAGCCATGGACAGCTAAAGAGAGGTCAGCAGGCGGATGCGGAGGGTCTCTGCTTTGGGGGCCGTCGCTGCCCCGGTGTTGCGGCTGGGGGGCTCTGCCCTCCCGGGGGCTCTGCCCTCTCGGGGGCTCTGCCCTCTCGGGGGCTCTGTCCGTGCCGGGCGGGTTCCGGCGCATCCCCGCTGCCCGCGGCGAGGGCCCATCACCCGCGCCCGGCGCAAGCAGCCGCGCCGCCGGCACTCGTTGTGGGCACCGGGACCGGCGTGCGGGGACCGGGGCCGGGGGGCGCCGGCCGGGTGGGCGGCGGCTCCGCAGGCAGGAATCAGGAGCGAAGGGAGGGCTGCGCTCCGCCCCCGGCCCGCCGCTCGGTCCCCGCGGCCGGCGGGCAGTGCGGACCCCCCTGGCGGCTCCCCGCCCCCGGAGCGGCGGCGGCGGCGGGAGGACGGGAGGAGGCGGCGCCGGGCGGCGGGATGCGGAGCGGGGCCGGGCGGCGGGCGGGCGCGGCGGCGAGGGGCAGAGCCCGGCGGGCGGCGGGGCGGCCCCGCTCCCCGTGAAGAGGCGGTGCGGCAGGGCAGCGGCCGCCGCCATGCAGCCCTTGCACCGGGCCCCGGCGTTGCTGCTGCTGCTGCTTCTGGCCGCCGGTGAGTGAGGCTGGCGCGGCGGGAGCCGCTGCCACCCCTACGGGCTGGGCGGCGGGTGGGCGTCCATCCCCTCCGGGGATGGCATCGGGACCCCCGGCGGGAGGCGGGTCGGCTCAGCCCCCATCCCGGGGAACAGCGGTGCGCCGCGGCTCCAGTGCCCCGGGGTGCCGGGATCTCTGCAGCGGGCTGGTCTCCATCACCCCGCCGTTCCCCGCAGGCACCACTGACCCGGGCACCGGGACTTGCGGCGGCTCCCATCTCCCACCCCGGAGCTCTCCCTGTGTGCCTGGCACTGCCCCCTACCCGGGCATCAGAGCCCTCTGGGGCAGCCGCTGTCTGCCCCGGGACCCCCTGCGCTCCCGGCACGGTGGGCTGGCTGCACGTGGGCTGCTCTCCCGGCTCTCCCGCCCCGGACATGGGGCACCCGGCACGGGACCCGCGGCACCGGGCGGTCGCGGTTCGGCCCGGCCGGGGCGGTCTCGGCTGCGGCAGCGCTGCCCCGCACCGCCCGATCGGGTGTCGGTGGCTTCGTCTGGCGTCGTGGTGATTTTGCGAACTACCGTGAAACTGATACAAAGAACGGGCCACCACGAATAGCTCCACGATTCCCCAAGAGCCTTCTCTTGAAATTTGGAGGAGAGGTAGGGTGCCAGGAAAAGGCAGTTAAGTGCAGGAATAATTATAGTCGGAATAGTTATGAATGCTCTGCTTCTATTTTTAAATAGTCTGGGGAAATTTCCCAACAAAGGGATCCCCCAAAGACCCATGAGGCTGAGATTGTCCTCTTCCTCCCTAATCCATCCCTTTGTACAGAAATCTGGTTAGTGTGGAACAGGAGTTCTGAACGGGGACATTTGAAGTGTGGGGGAGTCTTTGTCTTGAGTCATTCTGACAGGGAAGGAAGGGCTGACTTACCAACCAGTCACTGTCTTCCAGCACGACCAAGCTGTGATACAGTGACATCCAGTCCCCTGGCACGTCTCCTTTATTACCCCAATCTCCTGAAAATGTGCATGGGGGAATGTGTCATCTGTAGAGCCGCTCTGTCTATGGGCTGTTAGTCTCTGTCATCTGAGGCTCCTGAAAGACAACAGATAAAGCCTTTTAGGTTTGCAAACAATAGTGAGCTTGAAGAGCAAAATGGATCTGAAAACCTGTTGGGGTTTTGTGCCAATACTCTGTGGCACAGAAGCAATAAGTCTTTCTGGAGCTGAGGAGGGAGCCAATTCTGTGGTTTCCTCCAGGCAGGTTGTCCACATTAAGGGAATACCTTGGGCACAGGTGGCAAGGGTTCTTCAGCCATGTCTCAGCAGGAAACCCCTGTCCCCAAATTCAGCCAAACCTCTGCCTCCTCCAGAGAAGAGTGTAAGATATGAGGGGGGAGCTGCCACAGTCCCACCCTGCCAATCTGCCAGCAGGGGTTGGCCCCATCCCCGTAGCTGAAAGCTATGTTTGCTCTGCACAAGAAGGAGAGGTGGTTTTAAAATGTGGCAGCCAAAAGGACCCCACAGGTACTGCTGTGCTGGGGGGAGGATATGCTTCTTGTTCCACTGATGCTGCTGGAAACTTTCCAGCAGTGTTGTCCAGCTGGTGGTGATATGGAGGATTTGGGTGCTTGGCTTTCCCTGTGATCCTCTCTGCTGTCCTAGCAGGGAGAGACATAGAGATGGGAGGTGAGAAGCAGCTCCCAGGGACAGCTCAATTCCTAATCTAGTGAAATTTGTAATCCTGGTGGGCTGTGGCAGTACTGTGGGGCTGGCCAGGTCTCCCCAGACCAGTGGGCTCCTACCCAGATGGGAGGTCAGAAGTGGAGATGCAGACTGCTGGGAATTTGTAGCTCAGGCTCTGTTCTGGGTAGTAGCTTTGCTTGGTGGTTCAGGATCAGTTCCAATCTGAAATTATTCAGTGCACTCTGGCCTCACTTCTCCAGTAGCACAGGACAGGAACAGTTGATACCCAGGAGAGAGCTGGGTTGACTGTGTGCAGTTCCCCACGTGTTTCCCTGAGCTGGGAGCCTCCATAGCCCTGCAGGATGTGCTGAAATGGGACATGTGCCTCATCAGGGTCCCATCAGACTGCTGGGCAGCACAAGTCTGTTGGCAGAGTTTGGAAACATCTCTCCAGGCTCCAGGGTATCTCAGCCCCTTTGGTTTTGCAAGTAGAAAAATGATGCAGGGGGGGAAGGAGGGAATTGGTCTCCTTCCTCTTTTTGTCTCCCCAGGTGGCTGTCTGCATGTGGGCTGTTTAAGGGCTTTTTTTTGTCTTTCTGCCTGCTTAGAAGATGTCTTGTTAGCATTGTGTGAACAAGCCAGAGATGAGGGAATATAGATCAGGATGAATGAAAATCCCCTGTAGTAAGTTTTTCCTTGGCCGCCTCGCTGCCATAAGGAAATGTTCATTTAATTACAGGCATCAGGGGTAGAAATAACCACATTAAGCCCTCAAGGGGAAGCTGCCGGCGATGAGCTGCAGATCAGAGTGCACAGAAGTTTTCCCACTCACTCTGCCTGGGAAGAAGCTGCGGCATTGTGTGGGTACCTGGGGGAGCAGCAGCACTGACAGCCCCACTGCAGGGCTGGGGCAGAGGGGCTGCAGGAAGGTGCACCAATCTCCCAGCTGGTGCTTGGGTGAACTGGCTCCTCATTCTTGCTGGCTGTTTGTGGAAACCAGGGCACTACTGAAACACGTAATCCCAAAAGAATGGAGAGAGGCTCTTTGTCAGCCACACGAGCACAGCCTGCACCGAGGCCAAGAAAACACGTGTGTTGGTTTATTCAGAGGGCCAGGGATGCTGGCAAGGAAGGTGCACCCTGCTGGGCCTCAGAGCAGTCCCTCACTGTCCCTGTGCGTGGTGAAGCCCTGTTGTGGTTACCAGGCCTTGGATGTACATTCTTGCTTGGGGTCAATTTGTTAATGCTGGGAAAGCAGCTTTGCAGCCCTCCCTCTATATGCCAACTGCAACCATGGCTCCTCTTGTCCTGCCTGCTGTTGTGAAGGTAGTCAGAAGCCATGTATGTGCCCTGGGACCACCAAACCTTTGCATGAGCTTTTTTTCTGCTTAGGATACCTGAGGCTGTTTGGGGAGTGGAGCCTCTTGGGGATGCAGTGTGTGGCAGGGTGGTTGTCATTGCTCTGCTGCAGGGGCTGGAGTGGAGTGTTTTGTGCTCAGTGTTATGCCAGGGGATTTAAGGACCTTTAGGGGTGTAAAAGGTTTCAGTTATGTTTTGACAGGTGACCACATCTCAAGGGAAGTCCCTCAGGCACCTGAAGTATTGCTTGTTCTGCCTGGGCAAGAAGGCTTTGCAGAAGAAGGAGGCAGTGCCTTTATTGGGTGTGCTGGAAATCAGAGTGAGCATTGTGGGGGACATAGTCCAGGCTGGACAGAGTGAGAAGAGGAAGCACAGGCTTCAGGGGCAGAAATAACCACATTAAGCCCTCAAGGGGACTTGAGGCACTTAAGACCTCAGGGGGACAGATGAAATGCTTTGGGCCTTAGAGAGAGCAAAGAAGTCTGTGGGCTGTGGTTTTTCTCTTAGATCAGTGGTTTTCATCCCATGGTCTGTTAACCCCTGGGGGTCTGTAGGCTGTTTGAAGAGGCATGATATGCCTCTTCATATGCCTATGAAAGACAACTGAGGAAAGAAAATTCACTTCTACTGTATAGAACTGTCTACCCAATGCTGTTTTCCCAGGGGCTGCATCTCCTCTGGCCCCGAGCTGGGAGCTGCCATTGTCAATAGCAGGAATCGAGGAGGAGAGCAGACGTGGTGGCAGCAGAGGAGGGAGGTGTGAAGGCTACGAGACAATCCAGGGAGGGAGTGAAGGCAAACAGTCTGGGAGACTGCAACCGAGTGAGATTGTGGCTCCAGGCATGAATGGTTGAGCAGAGGGGGGAGGACAGGCCGGCATGTTGAAGTGTCTCCTGCTTGCATGGAGTCTCTCGTGTGGGAATGGGTGGAGGTGTTTAGAGCAGTCTGGAGGTTACAGATCCTAAGGACAGGAGACCTGACACATCTTGGCGTTGGGATGAGGGTGCCCAGCAGCCCTGGACACCACCCCAGTCTGACAAAGGGCACATCTGCAATTATTTGCAAAAGCAGGTGCGTGCCCTGGCAGTGCCTTGCTGTTTCCCGTGGGTGTACCTGGCCCTGCATGCTGTGGATGTTCTCTGCTGAAGTACCCAGGGAGCAGATGTTGGCAGTTCTTTGTGAGGTGGTGCCCACCCAGTACGTGCAGACACGCACTCCCTGCAGCGGGGTGGAGCTGGAGCTCTCATTGTGCTTGCTGTAAGGAGCTGTAAAAGCTTCAAGATGCTGGCACAACATCCCTCTAAAGAGCTGTCCCATTGCAAGGGCTTCTTCCCTTGTGCCTTGTTGCTCTTCTTGGTGTAGGTAGGTAAGTCTGTGCTACCTGCAGACCAAGTGCTTTTCCTGTTGCTTTCTAAAACATGCTGGAGACACGGGAAGGTGGATGGTTTTAGAGGGACACTCACTGAGGGACCTGCTTGCTGGCAGTACCAGAGGAGGATGGCAGTCTGATCTTGTTTTCTGAAGCCCTAATTGGAAATGATCTCTGAGATTAGGGTCATGGCTGGGTGTGTAAGTAGTCTAGTGCAATGTGGGAGAGCAGCAATAAGGCTGTGTGGGAGCTGCAGTGGGAGAGTTCTCTCAGGTGGTGTGTCCCAGAGCAGCTGTGGTCTGTAACTCTGAATGAGCACCAAAAGAACTTGGTTTCATACACAGTCATCTCATATGCTTCCCTGTGCAAGCTGTTGAGGGTTTGGAGTGCAGAGGCTCCAGGTGACTGTGTGGGAATCAGCTTGGACATCCCTCAGTCAAACAACATTTCTGCCTCTTCCTCCACTGGCCATGGTTGGGATCCCTTTTTGTTATTTAAATTACCCTGCATTTTGTTATGTTCTGGAAGTGGTTTGTGCCTTGACCATTCTGCCCTGGGGCCTCTCTCCTCTCTGCCCTTGGGCCTTGCTCCCCTGCCTTTCC